TTCTGCCACGGGGCCGGGCGTTGGGAAGTTAACGGGCGCCTAAGAAGAGTACGTGCCCGTCCGCTGATCCGAAAGAGGAAGAGCACCGTAACTCGGGACTGTGGTTCTGACTGGTTGATCGCGGTTTGCTCGCGTCACCCTCCTTTTTAATCGGATACTTCTTCTCTGATTTTCCCAGTTGTCGAATCAAGGACTTCCTTCTTGGTTCGTTCCCGTTGTTTCTTAGCCCGTTAATTTCTCGGCATATGTGCTACCGATGCGTAGTTTCATAAGGCGACACTATGTTATAATTGAGATTGTATCCCCTCAATTTGCGCTTGTTGAATCAGAGACTTCTTCTCTGATGCTGGAATCAATGACTTCTTTCTTGCTTCACTCCCTATACTGCTATGAATGTATAGTATAAGTCATGCGTCGGCTAAACTACATTAGAATTTAACGTGCAAAAGAAGACATCGATCGTCCGCCGTGGGATACATCGTTTCATTTACTAATTATGCTATATTAATTCCATATTACTAATTATTGTTATGTATTCCTTCATTTCAGTGCAGACTCAAGAAAGAAGTCAGCCGGCGTGGGATTATTACTAAGTGCGATACCGATAAATGCTTTTAGAATAAGGTTTAGAATTAGAACGTGAGGTCGGTAGAATTGAATTTTTTCCCACCTCCCAGGGTCTCCTCGCAGCAACTTCCTAGTGGTCGGATCTGGGCTATTATCATTATCTTCACTATAACATTTTCTGTAAAAGGATTATGGTAAGATAACTGGTTGCGATAATTTTGTAATGTAATGCTTAGATATATTTGGGAGTGATCTCGGGAGTCGAAAATAGTCGATAATCAGCAGCAACGATATTGCGGTTTCAACTTTGTTTTGAATCTGTTAACGATTAAAAGTCTCTCTGAACCATTACGATCCGCCAATAGCGACGCGCGCGAGGTAGGTCGGATAGGTCAGCGCCGTCAGTGACGTACCACGTGAGGGAAAAGGACAGAGACGCGGCTCGCTCACCGCTGTTGACGTATTTTAATCGTTAATAACGTGAAAACGAAGACGAAATTCCGTCACTCTTGATTTTCCTCTTGTTTTAGCTTTTAGAGTTACCCCTTAAAATATCTACTACACGTACTAGTACCGTTTGGAAGTTTCGTCGACAGTCGATTTTCGGTGAAATTGCGTTACATGTCGAAACTTTGTCCTATGATTCCTTTTACAACTGCATTTACTATAAATAGTACTTTGTAATTCATAATTTATTATGAACATAGAAGCATTTTATGCTTGCCCTGTTGTTATTTCAGTGAGTAACAGCTTATAGCAAAAAAAATGGCACATAAAAATAACTCTTAATTTCAACTCTTAATTTATTAATCCTTTGAGGATGAAAATCATATAAGTTGCAAACACATGATTTAAATACTCAAACAGCAAGAAATCAATATATAGTTTCCTTATTCTCTACTATTTAAACATTCAGTATCTAATTTAGCAGAATCTGCAGAAGGGTTTGTATATTTTAAACTTTTTCTAATTTCGACGTAATAATTATCGAAGCAGATATCGAAACTATTCCTATTTCTTACAAATCAATTACAGTCTTATATTCGTATACTTGAAACATTGACTTTTCGAAAAACGAATATATTTGCTGACTTAACAACCCTATTTCCGTTATATACGACGCGACCTCGGTAATAAAAGCTCGGCTCGGTAAACTGGCTGTCGCGAGAAAATTACATCGGACAAATGGAGTTTTACCGTGGTGTAAACATGAAATGCGTTAACGTCATACGATATCTCCCATTTTTTTCACCGCTTCGGCGTCTTTTCTCGTCGAGCTATTCATTAGCTAATGTCGCGTATCTATTTTGCTGGGAACACGACGCGAACGAGAAAGAAAGGGGAAAAAGACGAAGAATAAAGTTGTGAAATCGTGGTATTTCGCCGGCCGAGAATTTCTTCGCTCGTTTGTTTAAAAGCTCTTCGATTTCGCAAAGAAGCGCATTTTACCGGAGCACCGTCGACTTTAAGCGCTCCCCTCGTCGTAGAACAGTACTCCTATTCTCGCCTCTCGAGTGTCTCGCAGCATTTTTGCGAGCGAAACCCTCTTTCGACCCTGTAATAAAGCGGTTCAACGATGTTCCCCGGGAGAATGTCGATCGCTTTTGTCCATTCGACGTTCCTCCCCCGCCCCTTTTTTCACAGTTTCCTTTCGTGTTTTTTTTCTCCGCACGGTGCGGTCGTATTACATCTTTTCCTGGATGATTGCTTCGTAACTGTATATAACGGTCTAATGAAACGGTCTGATAACGTTCCCGAGACGAATTGATCGCTCGTTCTGCCCTGTTTGCGGCTTGTTTTGCATTTTTATTAGACCTCGTGTGTGAGTGCGCGTTCCGCTGAGGGAGACAGAGAGAGAGAGAGAGAGAGAGAGAGAGAGAGAGAGAGAGAGAGAGAGAGAAAGAGAGAATACGAAGCGTATCCTTTGGGAGAATTTATTCTTCTCTATTGTACGTTGCGTTGTCGATCATTCGCAACCTGCTCAAAATTTCCTATCCGATTTTCATTGAAAAACAAAGTTTCTGTCCGCTGAAGATCAACTTTAATGAATTTCATTGATGGTTCTGTGTACATTGTTGTATCAGATTTACTTTTTGCTTCAGACTATCTCGAAATAATGAATCGCGAGATCTGATGTTGTAGACTTTTCTTTTGATTAGTTAGTAGATTAGTAGATTATTTATGTATGACCGGGACAAAACCAGCCGTACATTTGCAGAAGCGATTTTTGACCTGTTGATGCATCAAAATGGCAATTAAGTATGGTCTGCTAGTATCTCGGCCGCAGCATTACAGATTAGGAACATAGCGACGCTGATACGTAACGGCACTAAGTAGTGCCATAAGCAAGAAACCGATTTTCTTGCACTCACCGACGCCGCCAAAAAAGATGCGCAGGTATCGCTTAGGATTTTATGAAAGTTTAGTTGATGCTCAACCACCGGCACGTGAGGCTGGTTGAAAGTTCGACGCGTCCGGACAAAATACTTTTTCTCTGTATCAAAATATACACCTAATATTCTAGTTTTATTAAATATAAGTAATTTATTAGTTATTCTTGAGAACAATTTTTTGAACACCCAAGTTACCATCTTACAATATTATCCTGTTTCTCTCCAAAGTTTTCTTCGAATGAGAATTTCGAATATATTTGACGACCGATGAATGACTTTTTAATGAAAGTTCGCGCGAAGAGATTACTTCTCAATATCTATTTCGACAAAATATTTTATAGAAACGTCAAGGACTTACTCAGAAAGGCGTTACGCGCCGGTTTTCATTAAGACGCCTCGTCGCGAAGTAAGGACGTTATTAAATGTAGATCGATAAAATGGTAATGCTCCGATTCGGTTTCGAGCCCGGCGCGGCCGCGTTATTTTTCTCGGCAGAATAGGGAACTCAACTGATTCGCGGCAATTAATTTCGCCCTTCGCGGTCAAGATTCAGCGGCTGGTACACTAACACAGACAGGAACGCGGACCAACAACAGTGGCTAATTGCACCGAGCGGTAATGCAACTGGCGCGGCGGTGGCTTGTGTTTGTAATTACGCGTGTAAATATGAATTATTAATTCTAGGAAAACAAATAACGGCTTTACAGTGGCCCGGCTTCATACTCTGAGACTGTTTCTTGATTAATTAGTTGTTACCGCCGTCTAACTGGCGGCGGAACACGTAATTAATGAGAATTACGTTACTTAATGCGCCGCGATGCAAGGGTGGGGGTGGGTATTATAAAACCGACATAGACTTCGTTGATGATGTTTACATCCACGCTGTTTTAGCAGCGTATGTTTTCATCGACATTGTATTTTCATCTGATCCTCGATTTACGAAAAAATTCGTGCCGCGTGGATTTGTTTTACGCGATTGAAAATGTTTGAACTATTTTTCAGTCAGGTATTATCATATTTTATTTACTTAACAACGGTTATTTACTTATATTTACCGAATATAAAAGTTTTAAAATAAAAAGTTGTATGAAAATTGTTGGCCGTAAATGTTAACATGCAAAACGAGAAATGTAATGTGTAACTTTAATGTACACTTCAAGTTAAGATACATACAAAGTGAGTATCGTGTCAATGTCAACGAACTTTGAATTTAACAAACACAAATATTATTCAATTTCTTTGAATGTAAATTACATTATTCCTTTATTACTAATGATTATACCTCATAGCAGACGTTGACATAGAATAAGACAGAAATTTTCTTTTACTGTCCATAAATTACTAATACCAGACTAGTTAGATCGATCACAGTTCAGAAAGGAATCGTAGGACAAGGAGTTAATAATGATACTAATTTGATAAAAAATCAATGAATTAATGACATGCCAGCAGGTTTATATCATTTCCTCAAAAATTCCCGGGGCTGGAGAAAGATAGACTAGAAACTACACGTACGTTGTGTTAAGATCAACGGAGATTATCTCAAAGATGTTTCTATCAACGCTACTTCACCGAAATACAGAGTGCTTTATTTAGCGATGAAGTATCTGTATAATTCGGGCCCGTATGAGAAACGCGCGCCGCGGGACGCAGTCAGGAAATCGTCGGGTCGATTCTGCGGCTCAAAACTAACGCGAACGGTCTCGATAACAGGGGGCTTGCGAGCTTCTTGTTCGCGAGATAGAACCGTTTTCAGTTTTAGCGTTAATGCCGTGTTATCGGGCAGCCGGTGTCGCGCACAGCACAGGAAATGTAAGGAATATTCAGTGTCGAGGTATTCAGAACGTCCCGGCTTAAAACAATGATATTAAATACGTAACGGAACAATAGAGAAACTACAATGACTGTTTTTCTTTGCCTGTCGAAGAATCTGATCTTCGCTGTGACTTTTTTTTTATTAAAGGCAACACGCGGTACACGTAGCTAAGAGTTTCGATAAAATTGCTAGCTGTTAGGAGGAGAAAAATATTCGATTTTGTATTAGTCGTCGCTTGATAGTTCGTTACATATATCGATTTCGCCCCTAGGACTTATTTTCGAACTATGATCGTCACAACTATTTTGTCGTTAAACAGTGAACTGCGCTCGACAAGTATACACGTCATCTTAAAACGCATAATGGTACCAATTTTTTCAACGGTGTAATTCTTCTTCGTTTTGCTTTGGTTGTTCGTTAGATTACATTATGACGAGTATATATTTTATTATTTTATTTTATTGCGCGTACGATGAGAGATTTTTCAAATTAAGTCCCGCAGTTAACTGGATGAGATTTACTGAAAAAAAGACAAATCCCAAGCACATTCTACACCTGTGTTTGCTCTAAAGTATAGTTATTGTTAACAGAAGAATAATTAATTTGGATTCAAAAGAATTGTGTGATATTTATGTTTGTTAAACTCAATTTAAAATTTTCACTACGAGTCTGACCCGTTATTATAAGGCAAGCGGTTAATAAGAAATAAAACGTCAGTTTGCTGTTTTCAACTGCGATTAAAAATAATGAAGCTATTGTTGTTATAATGTACGTTCTTTTTCAATGAATTGTATTTCATTATTTTGTGTAGAAATTGTAATCCCTTGCAGCTTTTATATCAGGTGAAAATATAATATTCATGAAAAGTTCCATATGATCCCTTTAATCAGGGTAGAATGATATTCTTGGTAAAATAAAAGCACAATGCAATTAATTCTGCTAATTGTGATAAAAGTCATACTTCGTTGC